TTTTAAGTTCAAGAATGTTTTGAAGCCTCACATTTGTATATTATCATACAGTAATTTAGTTCAGCAGTTCCTACTAAAAACTGAAATATTGGTTTAAATTTGCCTTCTGGCTGTAGCCTGGGCTTTGAATGAAACCTAGGCATAATGGCCGCTGAAGGTGTGTAGATGAAGGAGCCCAAGGTGCTGCTCCCACCAGCTGTGTGATACATTAAAATCCAACCAGTAATTTCGCTTGGCAGTTCTACCAAATACTGAAATATGGTTTCGGGGTGGACTAACCCTTTAAAATTTCTAACTGGGCTTAACGTCTCCTGAATATAAGTATGCCCCCTCCTGGCGTTGGTTCCTTGTGCTGTTTTTCTGTGCCTTGGCCTGACATGTGGAACTGTAATTTGATTGCTGGCCTGTTTGATTGAGTAGTGGAACATGATTAATGTCCCGAGGTCAGGTTTACACAGCCATTAACAGATGTTGAACGCAGCTCTGTGCGCAGTAGGTCTCTTCCTCACACTTACTGCGATTTGCTCCGATCTGCAACAACTGGAACAAAGGACGGACTTTAGCTACTGACAGGTGTCAGAAGTGAGGACTTGGCGGCCACTCACAACTGTAACCTGATCAGTAGATGACAAGATGGCACTCGCTGTGTACCAGCTGTTCCAACCAAAGCAAGAGTCACCCTGATTTCTCCAATCAGTGCTGTTTTTTTTTTTTTTTTTTTTTTTTTCCTTTTTTGTAATTAGTATGTAGCATAGCGTATCCACTTTGCAACAGATGTTAAATACTTATAGGCTTAAGCAGCTGTCAGGATTAAGTGTTAACCCTTGCAGTTCTGGGTGGGACTCAAACTATCAGCACTTGGGGACAAAAAAAATACTTGTTACCAAATCTATTGTAAGAGACAAAGCCGTAACATCTGTACTAGTGACGCCCCCTTACAATCCCTTAACGTAAGCATCAGGCTTCATGACATAGTGGGAAGACCTGTCTCAGGTGGTCACTTGGCAAGCAAGGACTTGAAGTTCTTTTGTAGTTTTTTTTTTTTCTTGGCGGTGGGGGATTACCAAAAGATGAGCTTGGTGAGCCTTTCTTTGCTTCAAATTGCTAAATGGCGCTAGTCAACATGTATATTCATTTAATTATCCTATTATCCTTAAGCTATTTGGGTGTTTAAAGCACACTTTAAATGGGTTTGTCCCATCTTGGGGGGAAAAAAAAAAGCATACAGGGCCATTTTAGATTGACTGTATTGGGGAGCTGCAAGTGGTATTTCAAGTGCGTCTATTACTGCCTAAATTCACAGCACTTGGAGGGGGAGGGGGGGGGGGGAGCTGTAAATATGGGAGAAAAATTAGAGAATTGAGAACTGGACACATAGCTGTCAACCTATGATAATATTGTGTGCTCATTTCCTACAGGAAAATTTTTCATTTAATGTATTAATTAAAATGGTCCAGAATGTAACCTTTATGAATTATTACATTTTAATTAATACATTTAATTACTACATGCTATTTAATACAATCCATTAGTGCATATTAATAGATTTAGTTTATACAGCTAATATATTATAATTAACACATGTTAACTAATCCATTTCAAACATCCTACCCTATTCCTTTATTTCTTGTAATTCGGTGTTTTTTTAATAATGTGTGTGTGTGTGTGTGTGTGTGTCGTAAAAAAAAATGCACCTTTTCCTTAATAGCCTATCTACATCATGGCCCCTGTCCCTGTTCTTGTTGCAAAAAAAGAAAAATGCATTACATTAGATTCTTGTCGCAAGGAATTTATCACAAAATCTGGTCAATTATGACTAATATACCGGATGCAAAATCCATTCATTTGTCAACTAATTTTGTTCCAAATATCAAATTCTGTCATCCTTTGACAATTCAATCTGTTGCCAATTTTTTTTTTATTTCCTCAATAGTGTTTTTTGTTTTTAGAATTTGTTACAGTAAAGTAAATGATTTCAGCAGATGATTCAAATACACTTGGTCACCACTGAGTCATGCTAGAATATTTCAGAACCATAAATTCCAAGTTGCGTTTTTTTTTTTTTTTTGTCTAATTTGAACTACAGTATAATGTGTCTAGGCTGAAAACTTCTAAATTTGAAATCCTAAACAAAAATCATAGTTACTAAATAATAATTATATAGTGGGCAAAGTCTATAGTTCATGGCAGGGCAGGGCAGCCACAGCAACCACTCAGAAACCACCTTTCAACATCCTAGGGTGGGACACTGGTAACAGACCAATTTTGATTGGTTACTAAGGGCTTCTGCACATTACCTGTGCCAAAATGGCAGTTTGCAGTGCACTTCTAATGTAACATTTTCTCAGCGTGTGTAAATAAAAAACATATTATTGGAGAGTATGAGTTATTGCACAATTTGGAACCCTGCCACACACGCACAAAGGGTAGGTCTGTTAATAAGCTGTGACCGCCATTTAAAGTGGTGCGTTAGGATCAGTTGCTTGTTTGGTGAATATATGCTAACAACTATAAAACTCATTTCGGTGCCACAGTATCTACAGTCATTAGATTGGTGAATGGATCCATTAAAGGAAAAGTGTCACCGCTCTGATCTTTATTTTTAGTAGTTGTGTTTAGCGCTTTCACAAGCTGGCGTAAAATACTGCCACTGTCACACCTACTCTGCACGTTAAGGGTTAATGCTTTGAATCAACTTTTTCTGTACCTCTTTCAGCAGTTCCAGAATAAATATTTGGTGAAACTCTGCAGCTCAATCATTACTCGACAGTATAGAAAAACACTTTTTTTTTTTTTTTTTTAAACCAAATTCATGATGTGTGACTTAAAAAAAAAAAAAAAAAAAACAAAAACAAATTCATGATGGAATTAATTAGCAATTACACTTCACTGCAGAAGTGAATAAACCATTGGCTGAAATTGTACACACAGAATTATAAGCAATCAGCTTAACTATTGCATTTTGTATTAAAGATTTTTGTTTTAATTGTTTATTTAAGGCTTCATATATTGAAGGTGTACAGTCTTTTCCAATTTTATTTTTTTTTTAATATCTCCCTTGCTCACGATTGAGTATTCAAAGTGAACATAGATCCAGTTCTTTACCAAACTAAGTGAACATTCACTTTGCTAAGTGAACAGTCTTAGGAAAATCATCCCAATTACGTCGTCGTATTAGGAACAACATTATAAACTCATCTGCGTTTTCATAGCGAAAACAAATAATAAAGATGCAAGCAATCCTCTTTAACAAACACCCCTGTAAAAGTTAAAAGCAGAAATAAAAAAAAATTAAATTACATCTGTATCCACTCTCTATCTTTTTGTTTCGGAACCTAAAAAGCAAATGTATTCAAGGCATGCTAGTTAATGTCTTTTGGTTTCTGGGAATTGTTTTGTGGTTTTTTTTTTTTTTTTTGATAGTTGAATAACTTTTTTCCAATATTTTGCTAGGCACTTTTATTTTATCGTACAAATGCATGCACTTCACTGCATTATTATTATTTTATTACGAATGTTAACATTAGTAGTATTAATATTATAATAAATAATACTACTAATGTTAATAATGGCCCTCTTCTCAGTTCTGTGCATCTGTCTCAGTGAAGATATATAAAGTTGAACTATATTTATATTATGTTAGGTAGAAAATGTTTATCAAAAATTATAGGGAATAATTCTTCCCTAGTAATATCCAGTGTTGACAGTTTACATTTTCATATAGTAAAACATTATAGCAAAAATTTGGAAAACAAAAATGTATGCCTATAGCAAATAAATTATTATACAGGATTTATATAACGCCGACAGATTGCTCAGCGCTTTACAATATAAAGGGAGACAATACAGTTCAATACAAGAGAGATAGGAGGGCCCTGATCCTTGGAGCTTACAATCTAAGATTAAATAGTAAGGATTGTGTCTTTTTGCCCTCGGTTGTAAATTATTGTCATATGGCAAAACTTCTCTAAAGCAAAAGCCCCTTTTGGGGGCCAGACTAATTATGTTATACTATGGAAAGATCATTAAATTGTTTTTTTAAGCAGAAATAAGTTAATGGTCCTTTGAATCCTAAATCGGAATTGTTGTATTGTTTGCCTGTGCAAAAAAAGTAATTTTGATAAATTTATAATTGTGCACATTGTATTCCTTTTTTAATCTTATACCCCCTAACTTGATTTAATATTTATAGTATATAATAACTTAGATTGTAAGCTCCAAGGACCGGGCCCTCCTAACCCTCTTGAATTGAACTGTATTGCTGTATTGTCTCCCTTTATATTGTAAAGTGCTGAGCAAACTGTTGGCGCCATATAAATCCTATATAATAACTTCTCTGTATTCTGGCAAAGTTGCCCAAGAACATCAATAATATAATTGTTTTATTTATTATATAGTTTATATATGCTGTATTATATAGTTTCAGATATTGGACCAATCATTTAAAATGTTGCACTAATATTGTATCAAATCACTATATCCATACAAGGGGTGGACTGACAACTCATGGGGTCCCCGGGCAATAGGATAATGGGGCCCCTGTGTCCTTGCCCAAACTCAAAAAAGCCTATGAAAAAGGTACCAGGGGCATCTCATGGGGCCCCCTACTGACCCCGGGCCCTCGGGCAGTGCCAGAGTTTCCAAATGGTAAGTCTGCTCCTGATCCGTACCCATTATGGAGGTTATTTACAAACTGGAAAGTGCAAAATATGGTGCAACTCTGCATAGGATGCAATCAACTTTCAGGTTTAATTGCTAAAGCTTAATTGAACAAGCTGAAGTTAGAAGTTGATTGGCTGCCATCCACAGCGGCACCAGATTCCGAGTGCTCCAGTTTTAGTAAATCCCCCTGTTGCATGCCTGCTTTAAAATTAGTAAATCAGTTCTTATGTTTTAAAGAGGTTGGTGCTTGCATATAACTTGGTGGCTTTGTGTAGAGATGCATACTTGGAACACTTCTGTTATCTAATCAAAACTTGTTTCTTTTTCTCTTTCTGCAGTTTACTGAGTGAAAGTGAGAAACGTCCTTTCGTCGAGGAGGCCGAGAGGCTGCGGATTCAGCACAAGAAAGATCACCCTGATTACAAGTACCAGCCTCGCCGGAGGAAGAGCGTAAAAGCTGGCCAGAGTGACTCAGATTCTGGAGCTGAGCTTGGCCACCACCCTGGATCTCAGATGTACAAGTCTGATTCTGGATTAGGAGGGATGGGAGATGGACATATGCATGGAGATCATGCAGGTATTGTACCACCATAGCTGATGCTTTAATGAACATTTAGGTTAACTGTTTGGATTGTCCTCTAGGGCCACTAGGTCCATGCCAATGGCTTCTTCCATGGTCATATCATTGGAACACCATGGCATGGGAAGGTGGAGTTATGTTCCTGCTGTCTATACAGCTTACTTGAATGACATTTTGATAGCCATTAGAGAACTGGATTTCAACTAGGAAGTTGTGTTTTTAGAAAGATTTATTAAGTGGAGCAACCTGTTATGAACTGCCCCTATCTTCATCTTTGTTTTTAAATATGAGCTCATACAGGTCCTGCATCCAAAGTTGGACTCATAGGGAGGCAATGAGAAGCCATGCCTAATCAGTGGATGTATGTGCTCTCCTTATATCCTTCAAGTATGTAGAACCCAACAACTTTTTGTCTAGAGTAGGAAAGTGTTCTAGCCCTTGTCTTGTTTTTGTTGTCTGAGATTCACTCTTTGTGTTGGTGATCATTGTCACCAGGACTGAAAGTGTAGGAAAGTTTAAAATGTCACTGGTGCTGGAATAGGAAAGACTTCTTCCAAGGGGGACACTTGTGTGGTGACAACTAGATAACGATTTCTTCTCACTTCCTGTTGTCTATGGGACAGGAAGTAAAGGGAAATCCCTCAACTGGACACAGACAGCAAAACAATAAAACTTAACAGGTTTTACCACTCAACAACAAAAATGTTTTGACTTTAGACATATTTTCATGTCCCATTTCAAATTACTTAGTTAGGTTGGCCATACAATATACAATTTTCTTACAGATTACTGCCCAATTTCCTTTAGATTTACCTTCCACTATGTGGTGCAAGGGCCTGCCTAGTTAGATACACTTGAAAGTGTTTAGGTTTGACCTCATATTAAATGGTTTTTGGTAAATCTAAAGCAAAAATCTCAGGAAAATTGTATAGTGTATGGCTAGCCTTAGTGTATACACCCCTAAAAGTGGTGATAAAGGCTGATTTTTTTTTTTCTGATTTTTTTTATACCAAACATGTCATACTTACCTGCTCTGTGCAGTGGTTTTGCACCCTTCTTGGGTCCCCCCCACCATCGCTCCTGCCAATTGCCCCAATAGCAAGCACCCTGAGCCACTGCTCTGTCTTGTCAGACAGAGCCATGGCTCAGCCCCACCCCACCCCTGCTCTCTCCTCATTGGCTCACTGGCTGTGATTGACAGTAGCAAGAGCCAATGGCTCCTGCTGCTGTCAGCCAGTGAGGAGGGAGGGACACTGGAGAGCCACTGCTCTTGTGCACCTTGCTGGATCAAGATGGGGCTCAGGTAAGTATCTGGGGGGGCTGCACACAGGTTTTTTTTTTTTTAGCTTCATGCATGAAGGTAAAAAACCTTGAGCCTTTACAATATAACTAAAGGCAAAATTTTGGATAGAGTGGAGAGGGTTTCAAACACCTGTCAGGTTTTGATTGATGGCTGTGCCCCTGTGAGGGAGATTTGCCTCCTCTGTTAGTGCCGTTTACCTCCATCACTGAAAGTGAGAGAAAATCCCATTTAAGTTGTCTCCAGAACAGGAGTGCAGGGGAAGTCTTCAACAGGGACACTAGTTGTGACAACCTTCATTTTTGGAAGGATTTCCTGTTGAACAGGAAGTAAAGGGAAATCTCCCCCCACAGAGCACAGATAGCATGAAAAAACAGGGGTCATAACCTTCCCTTACTCCATCCAAACTGGAAATAAAAATGTTGCCTTTAGTTCTGCTTTAAAGATCCTATGCTCACCCACTGGCCAGTCTTTAGAGGCAGCTCTGCCTACATTACTTTCATTTGGGTGCAAATTATGTCTAAGTATCCAATATCCAAGGTGGATGAATCTGCCTTTTCGAGAGTTTGGTATTCGTAAAAATACAATGGTTGGCAGTCCATTAGTGACTATTTGGTAGTCCCTTAAAGCCAGTTACTGTGTAATAGCTTTTCAGTTTTCCTTGACCAACAAAGTATAAATGAGTTATAAACAGCATTTTTTAGCTTTGTGGACCTATTTAATAGTAATCAGCCCAATTCCAGTAAGCTGAGAGAGCCATTGCCAGCAGCTATTAGTGTCTAAAATATTTGCTTAGCCACAAACCCAGGAGACAAAACTTTCCAGGAACAAATTCTCGGGATACCTCTGTTTTTCATCTTGTGAAGTTAATTTGCACAAATCTTGTGGAAATTGGTGCAAGTCTTGAAAATGCGTTTTTTTTTTTTTTGTTTTTTTTTCTTAAATGAGAGAATTAAAATTTAGTTATTTACAGTCCAGCTTCTATTTGACTATTTTGAAATCTAGGTTTGTGACCACCCTATAACTGAGTTATAGCTAATTCTATACTTGCTGATTGGCGTGTCATTACACAACCACTAGGGGCACTCACACTGATATTTTATTTAAATAAGTTGAATGTTCCATCATTTCTTAGCCATGTTAACAATTTTTTGCATAAAAAAATAATCCATTTGTGAAACATGGACCATGTATTTACTAAACAGGACGATACAAAGTAAACATTTTAGTTATTAAAAAAAATATTTTTTTTGGTATCTAGTGTATATTTAAATTGTCATTTTTTTTCCTTTTTATGATCTTAGGTCAAAATCATGGTCCTCCAACTCCACCAACCACCCCAAAGACAGACCTTCACCATGGCGGTAAACAGGAGCTGAAGCATGAAGGACGGAGGATGTTGGATAATGGGAGACAGAACATTGACTTCAGTAATGTGGACATTAACGAGCTGAGTAGTGAGGTGATAAACAACATCGAGACTTTCGACGTTCATGAGTTTGACCAATACTTGCCTCTAAATGGGCATGGAGCTATTCCAGCAGATCATGGGCAAAACTCCACAGCACCACCTTATGGAGCACCTTATACACACGCAGCTGGAACTACGCAAGCACCTGTCTGGTCACACAAAAGTCCTTCAACGTCCTCATCTCCAGAGTCTGGTCAACAGAGGCCTCACATCAAGACAGAGCAACTGAGTCCTAGTCATTACAGTGACCAGTCCCATGGGTCACCTACTCACTCTGACTACAGCTCCTATAGTGCCCAAGCTTGTACTACAACTGTGCCTAGCTCTACGGTACCAAATTCTTTCCCCAGCTCTCAGTGTGACTACACAGACCTTCCAAGCTCTAACTACTACAATCCCTATTCTGGCTATCCATCCAGCTTGTATCAGTACCCATATTTTCATTCCTCCCGGCGCCCCTATGCCACACCTATCCTCAACAGTCTTTCCATTCCGCCCTCACACAGTCCTAATTCCAACTGGGACCAGCCAGTTTACACAACTTTGACAAGGCCTTAAACGTTTTTTCGACTTGCTTATGTCTGATTGTTAACGTCTTCCAAGACATGTGCACTATAGACAGAATGTACAGATAGAAGGCACCGTGCCAGTTCCTTTACAAGTGCCTGCTGAAAACCTGAGGACGGTTATGTTCTACCGGGGGCCTTTCCTCCAGACAACTCTGAAAAAAAGTGTATTGTGAAACATGATTGCAGAAAGGGCTGTTTTTGAACTGTGACATGGTCTACAATGAAGGATGGACCTCCAACTTCCAAATGAGGACAGAGTTTCTCTTGGCACAATTAGGAGCTGCCAACATTTTTGAAGTTCATCCGATCGACCAACCATTAAGAATGTGCTTTTGACCAATTAACCCAGTTCTAACATTTCCATTTCATTGTGTACTTCATCAGCTGGAGAAGAGGGCCAGTTTTGGAGTCAACACGTTATGCTCCACTCAAATTCTTTTATCTCTAGAGTTGATGCAACAGCATTATATAGAGCCGAAGACTTTAATGGATGTCCATCAAGCGCCATAAGAATTCCACATTTCAACAAATTCCCTTTAGAACAATACTGCCATGATTTTAAAAAAAATAATATATATGGAATGGACTAGAGGGGGAAAAAAAAAATCCTATTTAACCGTTATCATGTTTATGTGTCTCAGGCTTGGACTACAAACTGTATTTTTCAACTTTTTTTTTTTTTTTCTGAGCAATGTTTGGCTGTAATTAACTTTTTTCAAATTGTTATAGTTCTGTTAAATATATTATATATATAAATATATTTATGTGCCATATATTATAAGTGATTAATTACTTTATTGTTTCAAAAAAATTGGGAACAGAAAAATAGTGAAAAGAGTAGAGGATTGCTATTTTTTTTTTTTTTTGGTCTGGTCACCCGATTCCGTACTTGAAAGGTGGCCTAAGGCCAACAAACTTATAATATCTGGCTGGTGAACATTTGTTCAAATAATATATTAGTAAAATATTGACTTGATGGTAATTTTTGACATAATTATATTTGTCACACGATTTTAAAAACCGTTTTCACCTAGCCTACCAGGGACCAGATTCTTACCATAAAGCTAAGACACTAAAATCCTGTCCGATAATTTTATTTCATTTTTTTAACTGTTCGTTTTTTGACTAATATCTGTTTTTACGTTGCTGTTCCCTTCCATTGTATGCTGAGCATATAATAAATTCTATTTTATGGTAACTTGTGCCTTTTTTAAAATATTGAAAAAAAAAACTTTGTAAATTTGAAAAAAAAAAAAAGAAATTATTTTTGTTTCTACAGTTCTTACTATTTTCTAAAGAATAAAAAATGTGTCTTTGGATCAGATCTTCCTGTTTACGCATTTAAACAAAAATACTTTTTGTTTTCTGCAAATTCTATTTTTCTGTTCAAAGTGTGAACGATTCCATTTGTATGGTATGTTGCCGCTGACTTTTTTTTTTTTAATAATTAAGCGAAGCTAACTTTTGTATATGCTATGTTCAAGAAAATTAAAAATGGCTTTTTTTTTTTCAAAATTGACCTGGCTTAATTTTTTTTTTTATTGTAGGTGACACTGTTTCGAGTTTTAATGTTGTATAAATTTTTAGTTAATGGTAAATTCAAATTAATTTGAGTCTTCAGTAGGGGTGAATTTTTTTTTTTTTTTTTTTTTTTTTTTTTTCCATGATTTGTGATATTAATTTGATAGAAATCTCAGTTTCTGTATGTCACATGGTCTCTTAGCTGTCATAGACTGATATCAATTTTTAAGTACTACCGTGAAACCATAAGACCGTCTGGGACCAGCCCCGTCTCACTCAAGTCTACGTAAATGTGGAAAGTATTTGTCGGGTTGCCTTATTTACTGAAGATGTGGCAGGGAGTGCAGACTAAAATCTATTTAGACACTTTTCGTCTCGGTCTTATTTGCTTTGGACTAAAGATGTTTGAATTGCCATACTAATATGGGAGACGGATTTGCTCTGTTTAAGTACATGTATATAAAAATACACACAGTGACACACGTCGGGAAAAATGCCTTAAAGGGAAACCAGATTTAAATTTTATAAAGGTATACCCATTTCTAGACATGCATAGGAGAATGTTTACTTGCCAAAGGATTTGTTTACATTCATTCAGTTCTGAGATTTTACGAAGCTTTACCCCCCTGCTTCATAGGTTCGCACTGTGGGGCAAAGTCCCTAAAGATTTATCTTTGCTGCAGTTTCGCTTTCACTTACAGGTCGGCTCCTCTCTCCCACCCTTCGAGTGGACAATGATAGGAGAAGCAGCAGAATAATAAGCTTGTCACTCTGCTCTCTCCACCTCTGAGCAGTACAGCTGGTCACAGGGGAGGACTGACAACTCATGGGGCCACTGGGCAATAGGGGATGATGGGGCCACTGTGTCTTTGCCCACACTCAAACCACACCCAAAAAAGCCTATGAAAGGTACCAGGGGCATTTCATGGGGCCCCCTACTGACCCCGGGCCCTCAGGCAGTGCCCAAATGGTCAGTCCACCTTGTGCTGCTTCTTCCTCCACTGCCACTAGACTGCAAAAGGCTGCTACTAAGGCAAGGTTCACACTTATGCAGGTTGTGTTTGACCCATTTCTGCTTTGCGTTGCGTTTTTTGCTGCATACCTACGCATTTTGCATTTTTGGGGGTTTTTTCTTGAGGCTAGGCAAATTTAAAACGCAGCAAAACCGCACTACATGCTTTTCTGCAGCATTTCCATTGAAGTCTATAGAACCAAAAATGCTACTTTTTTCAAAAGAAGTCCCTGACACTTTCCAAAAAACGCAACGGGTGAAAATGCAGAGATGTGAACCTGTCCCATAGGAAATCATGTTAAATGGACTGTACTGCATTTCTGAACCTGGGGTGAGTCAGATTCACTGCATTCAAATTAATTTTATTTATTTCAGGTACTTATATAGCACTGTCAATTTACGCAGCACTTTACATATATATTGTACATTTACATCAGTCCCTAACCCTCAAGGGGCGTACAATCTAAGGTCCCTAACTCACATTCATACATACATACTAGGGACAATTTAGGCAGGACCCAATTCACCTACCAGCATGTCTTTGGAGTGTGGGAGAAAACTGGAGTACCCGGAGGAAACCCGCACAGGGAGAACATGCAAGCTCCAGGCAGGAGGTGCCGTGGCTGGGATTCAAACCAACAACCCTAGTACTGCCAGGCGGAAGTGCTAACCATTTAGCCACTGTGCTGCCCTAAATAAATCAATGTATCTGCCTTGAGTTCAATTTCAATATAACTGGGTACCTTACATCTGCCAAAGCATTGTTGGATTATTGCCCAGCCAGTGGGGGGCAGATACAATGTTCACCTACTCTTAACCCTAGGTTCACACCTAAGTGGTTTCCAGAAACACAGTACAGTCCAATTAATATGATTTCCTATGGGACATGTTAACACCTGTGTGTTTTCACCCAGTGTGTGGTGTTTTTTTTTTTTTTTTTTTTTTTTTTTTTTTTTTTTTTTTTTTTTGGGGGGGAAGGGTCAGACTTTTTTGAATGTGAAAAGTTGCATTTTTGTTTCTACAGATATCAATGGAAACGCTGCAGAAAAGAATGCATTGTATTTTTTTTCTTTTGTTTTTGCCATATTTTTTAAATCTGCCCAGCAACAAGGGAAAAAAACGTGTCAAACACAATTTAGAAACAGCTCAAATGTAACCTGCATAGGTGTGAACCTAGCCTTGGGGCAGATTCACACCTACAGGTGCCATGGTGCAGACCATTCTGTGCATTTTCCATGCAATGTCATGTGTAGGCTAGCCCAATCATTTCAATGATCTGCCCTATGCATGAGGAGTTGGGGGGGTGGGGTGGAAGAAGACCCTGATCCTGACCCTCTTCCAAAATCGTGCCCCACCAAACGGCATTAACAATTATGGTGATACACAGAAGCGCGTCTCTATGCATGTAGGGAAAGCACACAATTCTGCAGGCGTTCCTGACACAAGATTTGCAGCCATACCCCTGGTTCACACTAATGCATTTTTTTTAGTGCTTTTTGCAGAAACTCCCTACCATTCATTTAACATGGTTTTCTATGGGACATGTTCACATCCATGCTTTTTAGAGCTGCTGCATTTTTGGAAAAGGACTTTTTTTAAATGCAAAAAGCAGCATTTTTGTTACAATAGAGTTCAATGGAGAAGCTACTGACATGAATCTAGTCACATTTTTATCACGTGTTGCAATTTTTTTTTTCCTTCTGCCCAGCAACAAAAAAACCTCCACTTTAACAAAGGGAACCAAAGTCGCAAAAGCAATAAACTGATCAAGAACAAAGCCTAAGTGTGAACCAAGCCTTAGACCGTGGGCTGGACAATATTTCAAACTCGTAAAGGTCCTCTCCGTTCTTTCACAATCGGTACCAGACTTGAGTGCGCTGAGGCAATCACCGCACTGGACGGGTGATCCTGATGAGCTGAATTAAGAGTTCTTGTATCCCTAAGGGCTCTTTCACACGGACGTTCTGATTGGGTCCACCTGCTCGATTTTTAAGGCGGACCTGATCAGAACCTCCGTTCTCCTCTATGGAGCGGCGGGTGTAAACTGACATGTCCATATACACCCTCTGATATCCAATCCGATCTGCCAAAAAGGGCCAGGCGGGGATCCAATTCCCCTTCTGTCCGTTAGATGAAAACAGGCGGTTTAAATTGATTGAGGAGAGCGAGCAGCTCTGTGTCCGCTCTGCAGCAGCGGAGCGGACACAGAGCTGTCATCCGCTTGTTCAGTGGGGATCAGCAGAGATCCCCTGCTGAGCAAGGGGATCTGCTAAACTGGTCCGCTCTGTGTGAAAGAACCCTTTATTTGATTAAAATGATACTTTGCTGAAATTTTCAGGTTTTTATCACCATTTTGCCCAAATGCATTGTAGTCAATAGGAAAGACCAAATTAAGGGGGTTATGAAACCTAACAGCAAACATTTTATTATATTGCAGCTTAACTCTTAGATGTGAT